CCTCTTTCTGTCTCTCTCTGGCACACACTATGGAAAAATATAAAAAATAAAAAATAAAGAAAAAGAAAGGACTGGAAGGGACAAGAACTATAAATTATCTTGTTCTTTTTCCTATGTCATCACTTTCGGTGTAAATGTCTTGCTAAAATAGAAAAGTAAAGGATTAAGACAAAAATGGGACCAGCAGGTGGCTTAGAGGTTAAAACACTGGCTCTCACATGGCCAATTGTGCAGTTCTAGTCCTTGAACTGTTGGCTTGAAAAATACACATGTGGGACTCACAGATGGCATAATGGTTATGTCACTGGATTCCCTTGTAGTTGACCAGGGTTCAAGTCCCGGACTGGTGCTTTAAAAACTCATGTAGGCGGTCGGACTTTGCTTACCTCTTTCCGCCATCTTGGAGCGTATGGAGGCCTGCTGGGAACAGGACTTCTAAAAGGCAGCTATGTCTGGAAGGCTGTGGTCCAAGGCCATTCTTGCTGGCTATAAGCGGGGTCTCAGGAACCAAAGGGAGCACACAGCTCTTCTTAAAATTGAAGGTGTTTATGCACGAGATGAAACAGAATTCTATTTAGGCAAGAGGTATGCCTATGTGTACAAAGCAAAAAACAACACAGTGACTCCTGGTGGCAAACCAAATAAAACCAGAGTAATCTGGGGAAAGGTTACTGAGCCCATGGAAACAGTGGCATGGTTCGAGCCAAATTCCGAAGCAACCTTCCTGCTAAGGCTATTGGACACAGAATCCATGTGATGCTGTATCCCTCAAGGATTTAAAATAATGAAATGTAAATGAATAAAAATGGGGTTCCAAAAAATATTTTTTAAAATGGATTTGTGTTTAAAAAAAAAAAAAAAAAAAAAAACTCATGCCACAGGACCAGCAGGCGGCATGGTGGTTAAGGCACTGGACATTCCCACATGGCTGACCACGGTTTGAGTCCTAGACCTGGTGGCCTGCTTTCTCACTTTCTCTCTCTCTCCCTCTCTCTCTCTCTGTGTATCTTTCTCTAGTCAAATTAAAATAAAAAATGAATGAATAAACAAAATTAAATAAAAATAATTCTTTACAAAATAAAAATAAATAACTCATGCCAGGTACATGTGCATGAATGCCAAAAACCCTGAGAGGAGAATGGAAGAGAAAGAACTGTGGCATGACCATCCCCCCTGCAGGGTGATTTCTCACTTCTTGTCTCCCTCTGTGTCTCTGGTGAGCACACATGCGCTATAACAAAAAAGCTCTCTTTAAAAAAAAAAAGAAGGGGATGGGACCAGCAGTTAGTGTAATGGCTATGTCACTGAACTCCCATGTAGTCGACCGCGGTTTGAGTCCCAGACCCAGTGGCTTAAACTCACGCCAGGCGCGTGTGCGTGCGTACCCAAGATCTCGAGAGGAGAATGGAGGAGAAGAGATTGCGGTGTGGCCATCCCCCCAGGGAGTGATTTCTCGCGTTCTGTCTCTCTGTCTTTCTGGCAAGTGCACATGCCGTATACCAAAAACCTCTCCAAAAAAAAAAATGAAAGGGATAAGCAGCTGGTGTAATGGCTATGTTGCTGGACTCCCACATAGTCGACTGTGGTTCGATTCCCAGATCTAGTGCTTAAACTCAGGCCAGGTGTGTGTGCGCGCATGCCCAAGATCCTGAGAAGAGAATGGAGGAGAAGGGATTGCGGCATGGCCATCCCTCCTGGAGGGTGATTTCTCGCTTTCTGTCTTTCTGGCGAGCACACGTGCCCTATAGCAAAAACCTCTCAAAAAAAAAAAAAAAAGAGGAAAGAAAAACACACATGTGCATACATGCTCAAAATCCCATAAAGAGAACAGAGTAAAAGGGATTCTGCTGGAGGGATAATTTTTTTCAGTTTCTCTGTCTCTCGCTCCTGCTTGCACCCTATGCCAAACTAAAAGAAGACAGAAAGACAAAAATGCAATAGGATTCCTCGATCATCACTGTTTTCTTAGCCAATTGCCTTCTTTATGTTCAGAGCAAGCTCTTGTAGGAATGGAAAGTGTGGCCTTTCCAGACTGTCAGTGCCTCCATTTGATCAGTAAATGTCACAGACGTGCTCACTTTGTACTTGTTTTGAGTCTTGTTGCACTCCCACGTATCGTACATCCATCATAGTTCTGTACTCACGGGGAACAGTCAGTGGTACATACAAATGCCCTGTCAAAGAATGGTGGACACACAATTGCACTAATCTCTTCTGCCCACATCATGTTCCCTTGTGTCACTGGGCTTCATTCACAAAACACAAATTCAAAAGTAAAATTATTAAAAATGTTAAGATGGTGACCTGGCCTTTTAGCCTAGTGGTAAAGGGAGCTAGATCCTACATAGCTCACTGCAATTTGAATCCTGACCCTGGCAGCCTGAAAAACACCAAGCGCATGTACCTGATTGTTCAAAATCTTGTCAGGATGGAGGAATGGAGGAGAAGGGATTGTAGCCTGATCATGCCCCATTGGGGGGTGCTTTCTCCCCCATTCTTCCTCTCTGTCTCTGATAAGTGCAAGTGCCTTCTTCAATTTAAAAAATAAAAAGAAAAAAATTTAAGCAGGCAACAGCAGATTATTAAACTAAGCAAGCACGAGGCCCTCTTGATTATGAGACCCTTTATGACTGCACAAGGCATTCTTTCAGTGGACCTTCTTAAATGTTTGGTTATTACCAAATGACAGACTGCCAGGAGTAGCATGCATGCATGCCTTCATCCATTCATATTTATTTTTTTAAGGTATCCTCCATGTGCATGTGCCAGTCATTTTTGAGACACTGGGGCTACGCTAAAGTAAAAAAGGCAAGATATGGCCTCAGTGTCAACAGTACTTGTGGTCTAGTGAGGAAAACATTATTAAAATTGCACCACAAACATTGAAATTACAGTTGCAATAGGGGCTACAAATAGAACTACAGGGAGGGAGGAAGGCTTACCTAGGTGGTGGTTTGGGAAGGAATCCTTGAGGAAGTAGTATTTTATGTCATTCTTCTGCCTCAGCCTCCTGGCCGGGACTACAAGCACACACCACCATTCCTGGCCTTTAGGTTGGATTGGGAATCAAATCCAGGCCTCTCTCATTTGGTCCTAGCCTGAAAAGCATTGCATCTTAGCAGCATGCACCACTACAACTTTTTTTTTTTTTTTAATTTTGAGACAAAAAGCTACAGATAAGTCACATGACCCCCATGACTTCCGTCTCCACTTTGACCAGATGGTCTATAGTCACCCTTGTGCTTATATTTGCCCCTTCTTTTAAACCTGATTGTTGCTAAACATTCTATTTTTCTATTATTTTTCTATTTTTGCATAGAAAAACATGAAAAAATACATCATGACTTTTCAGATGACCTAATAGCTCCCAAGCCAGGAGGATTTGTGGGGAAATATAGGAGCTCTTTAGAGTAGGTGCTTTTAGCACCCTCCTAATTCCATATGAGACCATAATATCAAAGCATTTGTCATGTAAAATGGGTGTGGGTCTGTCCATGAAGTCTTCTCTTTTTTTTGGAAAAGTTTTTGCTATAGGGAGCGTGTGCTTGCCAAAAAGACAGTGAGACAGAAAGTGAGAAATTACCCCCCAGGGGGGATAGCCACACTGCAATCCCCCCTCCTCCTTTCTCTTCTCAGGATCCTGGGCACACACATACATGCGCCCTGCGTGAGTTTAAGCCACCAGGTCTGGGGCTCAAACTGCGGTTGAGTATGTGAGAGTCCAACAACATAGCCATTACAACTGCTGGTCCCTGGAGTCCTCTCTTGATTCTCTTTTTTTTTTTTCTTTTTTTTTGGGAGGGGGGGAGGTGTTTTTGTTGTTGTTGTTTTTGTTTTTGCTATAGGGCATGTGTGCGCATCAGAAAGACAGAGAGACAGAAAGACAGAAATCGAGAAATCCCCCCCCCCCGGGGGGGAGGGCCACGCCGCAATCCTTCTCCATTCTTCTCTTGGGATCTTGGGCATGCATGCACACGCTCCCGGCATCAGTTTAAGCCACAGGATCTGGGACTCAAACCACAGTTGACTATATGGAAGTCCAGCGACACAGCCATTACACCAACTGCTGGTCCCTGGAGTCCTCTTTTGATTCTCATTGCAGAGCTATAATTGAAAAAAAAACACAGTGAGTGGGGACAGGGTATGGAAATGGAACCATGGTGGAAAATTTTTTTTAAGAATTATTTTATTTAACTTTATTTATTTGCTTAAATTTGACCAGAGAGTGAAAGAGAGAGAGAAAAAAAGAGAGAGAGCGAGAGAAAGTGAGAAAGCAAGCCTCCAAATCCAGGACTCAAACCACAGTTGGCCATGTGGTTTGAGTCCAGCACTCTTAATCACCATGCCATGCCGGCCCCTGGTGGAAATGTTTTAAATGCAAGGAAAAGCATTATTGCTGAAGAAATATCTTCCTGTGGGGCCAGCAGGTGGTGTGGTGGATAAGGGTGCTGGATTCCCACATGGCCAACCATGGTTCAAGTCCTGGACCTGGTGGCTTGGTTTTTAACTTCCTCTCTCTCTCTCTTTTGTCAAATAAAGAAAAAAAAAATAACAATAACAAATGGAAATAAATAAATAAATATTTAAAAAAAAAGAAAAGAAATAACTTCCTGGGTCTCACAAGAGAGTATTGTCTATTTTGTGGGTGTTGGTAGAGGGCTTTGTGGGAAACTAGCGAGGAAAATGCTGGTAAAATAGTTGCTCTGGGGCAACCACATCTAAGAAGTCTTTTCTGTCTATGATCCTGAGGTCTTTGCGATGCTTTGGGACTGAAGAAAGGGATGTGGGATCTATTATTGGGCTCAGGACTAAGTAGGAACAGCATCCCCAAAGGCATCAGGGGTGAGAGAGAACTAAAAAGGGAAGCTTAACTCACTACAAGTGCTGGAGGGCCATACATTATCTTCTTAAGGTATTCTTAAAGAAGAGAAGGCAGTTCGGTGGTACTGAGAAATGTTGCCATACGTAGATAGCTTGTCATGACTCTCTCTCTCATACAGGTGCTGAGAGATGTCCTCAAGGATCTCTACCACCTGCTAAAGCATGTGGTACGTTTGGAGCCCGACGATGTGGCCAAGCTCCATGCTCAGCTGGCCCTGGAAGAGCTGGATGAGATCATGAGAAACTTCCTGTTCCCACCACAGAAGCTGGAGAAGAAGATTGTGGTCCTTCCATAGACCCAGTTCTAAGCAAGAGCAGTACCCAAGCCTTCCAGCAGGTGGCCCCACTACCTCTTTGGTGCTGGCAGTATGGCTGACCCTGGAGGTGGCTTTATGACACTGGTTGGTTGGGTCTTCAGACTGACTTTCCTAAAGTATCTATTTTGCCATCCTGCATCCAGCCCAAAGTATGTGCAGTTAAAAGAAAAAATAGATTAAAAATCTTATGAATTTGCACATTTTTCACTGTTCTGTAGTATTTAAAGAAGAATGTCTACTGATAGAAATATGTATTAACCTGACTGATAGTTGATTAGCTGACTTTTTTTTTTTTTTTTTTTTCCAATTCTTGAAGTCGGCCACCTATATGTCCTACATCTTGGCATTCTTTCATGGCGAGATGACTATTCCTTGTGATAATGAAGAGCAGGCAGAGTTAATCATCCTTGGCTGCTAGAAGAGGTATTTTGAAGTACAAGATGGAGCTGGGGAGGGGGAGGGGGAGGAACAATAATCAAAACATGAAAAATGGAATAAAATGATCTTGGCTGGGAAGAACAACAGGTCTGAATCTGGTCCTCTGATATTGAGGTGGAAAGCTATGGAGTTAAAGTGGCTTTGACCTCAAGAAGAGAATCAAGCTGGTTGAATCTTCCTGAGAAGGGTAAGCCCTGTCTTTGTCCTCTTGGGCCCTATTTGTCCCTCCCTCTGCTGTGGTTTGCATAGTGTTGCCCTGATTATCAGGAGAAAACCACAAGCATCTCAGAGTTTATATCCCACATTCGGTTCTGTGTTCTTAGAAAGATGAGAGCTTAGACAATGGGTTAGTTCTAAATAGCAAACTAAAAAATGGATTTCATATTGGTGGCCTGATGCCAGGTTTGTCCAAGTAATTTCAGATGTAGCACTACAGACTCCCCTCCATTTATTCGTTTATATATTTTGTCCTCTACATTTTGATTGTAGCGAAAAGAGATGACAAAAAGGGAAAGTGGCTGGCTGCTTGAGATAAGCCCTCCCTGTTGGTAACACCTTGACAAGGTTAACTCAGAGCTCCTTGATCAGTTCTCAGCTCTGTAGAGCTAGCTACAGATTTTTATCACAGGATTTCACACCTGCTTTCTAGGGTGACCAGACCTAGGAAGATTAAAACACAATTTCCAAAAAGTCAGGTGACTGAAGGATTGGATGTATACAAACATGTTCATTTGCCAGTTAATAGCAGGATAGTTCTCTCTGGTCAGATTATAAACAGAATTCTTAGCACAGAACTTTGTGGTGAGCATCCCTTTAAAGCAGTCATCTTATAGACAGTTAAGGGTCACAAGTTAGACTAGTGAGCAAAGAATTAGAATAAAGATAGTTAGATGTGATGAAGGAATATTTCATTTGATTATATTTAGAATATTCTATTTTATTTGGATTAACTTCCATTCTCCAAATCAAGGATGTCTAGAAAATCAGGATTGAGGCTTTCAAATCAGAGAAGAATCTCCTTTAGACAGTTCAGATATACTAAAAATGCTTATTTCTTGGCCTTGCTTTGAATAGACTCCACATAATCCACCCAGATCATCAGACTGAATATGTTAGACATTTGATTTAACTTAAAATTTATTTGCATTAAATGTATTCCAATTCTTTTTAAATTAAATTTATTTATGTATGTATTTATTTACAGTCATTCGCTGGAAATAAATCAACACAGTATATAAAACAGTATAATCAATATATAGTACAATCAGTACGTACATCAATGCGGTATACAAAATGAGATTTTCCATTCAGAATACATTGTTTATTGGCTCAATCAAGAATATTATCATACATGTTTCAACAAATAATTTTCTATTTCTTGTTTCTTATGCTTTTGTTTTTCCCCCTTGACTCCCTACCTCTCATCTTCTGCCTACCCACCCCCCTTTTCCCACACTGTCTCTGGTATGTACAGTTGTTTTCCATGCCCTTTCCTTCACATTTTATTGATTCACTAAAGATATTTTTTGGAGAGGTTTTTGCTATAGGGCGCGTGCGCTCACCAGACAGACAGACAGAGAGAGACAGAAAGCAAGAAATCACCCCCCAGGGGGGATGGCCACGCTGCAATCCCTTCTCCTCGGTTCTCCTCTCGGGATCTTGGGCACGCACGCACACGTGCCCGGCATGAGTTTTAAGCCACCAGGTCCAGGATGCAAACTGCGGTCGACTACATGGGAGTCCAGCGACATAGCCATAACGCTAACTGCTCCCTAAAGATCTTAATTAATTTAAAAACTTTCAATAGCAAGCACAGCTGACATATACATATCTATGAATGCATGTCTGATTTTAGGAATAAACCACAGTGAGTAAAGTGAACATACTATAAAGTAGCACCTCACTGGATCTATATAGCTTACTATAGTCATTAAATAGGTATTAATAGGTATTTTTAATGCATTTTTTAATTTCAAGAAAAACAGTTTTAGTTTTAATAGATCAAAATTTAAAAAATGTTAAGAGAAATTTGCTTAAAATTTAAAACCAGGAAAAAGATTAGGATTCAGTTCAAATAGTAGGTAGATGAAACTATCAGCAATTCAATAGAAGACAAAAATCCTTAAATATGGAAATCAAAGCATTGAAGAAAATCAGTAATGTTTTAGTCTAAAGTCAAAAAAATTATATTTCACTAGTTCAGACTCATGTAATTAACCTCTCTTCTATTGAATTTGCATTGTTACTGTGGTCCGATCTTTCCATTTAAACTCTGGAAGTTAACATTCAACTCCGAACTTGTCCCTACCATTAGGCTGGCCATTCTTTTGGTTGTTTCTTGTACTCTTATTTCTGTGTACCCCTTTAGTTCCTGGTATAGCAATCCAGCTCTCCCTTCAGCACTTTTTGGAGAGCCGGTATGCTGTTGGTAAATTCTTTCAGATTTTGTTTATCTGAGAATATTTTTGTCTTTTTTTCCCCCATATGAAATATAGTCTTGCCTGGTATAGTATTTTTGGTTGAAATTGTTTTTCACTTAACACTTCGAATATTCATTGCTTGTTTTGTTTCCAGTGAGAGGTCCAAAGTTAGCCTTATGGGATAGCCTTTGAAAGTAACTTTACCTTTCTCTCTTGCCAAATTTAGTATCTTATCTCTGTCTGTGGTTTTGGTCAATCTGGCTATGATGTGCCTTGAGGAAGATCTTCTTGGGTTGATTCTATGTGGGGTCCTTTGTATTTCTTGGTCTGGATATTTGAGTGTCCCTCTAGGTTTGGAAAGTTTTCTTGCAGGATTTCATGGAATAGATTATCAATGCCCTCATTAGTTTCTTCACCTTCTGAGATTCCGACAATCCAGATATTTGAGCATTTAATGGTATCTAGTATTACCCGTATGTTACTCTCATTTTGGGGGGGTTATTTTCTCAGTCTTTTTGGTGAATTTTTCTAAGTCAGAGGTTCTATCTTCTACATCTGAGATTTGATTCGGTCTTCTGTATGATCCAATCTGCTTTTGATACTTTCAGAAGGTTTTTTTTTTTTTTGAGAGGTTTTTGCTATAGGGCATGTGCGCTCGCCAGACAGACAGAGAGAGACAGAAAGCAGGAAATCACCCCCCAGGGGGGATGGCCACGCCGCAATCCCTTCTCCTCCACTCTCCTCTCGGGATCTTGAGCACGCACGCACACGCGCCCGGCGTGAGTTTAAGGCACTGGGTACGGGACTTGAACCACGGTCGACTACGTGGGAGTCCAGCGACATAGCCATTACGCTAACTGCTGGTCCCGATATTTTCAGAAGTTTTGATTTCCTGAATTATAGCCTTCATCTCTAACAAGTCCGTCTCATTCTTTTTTATGATGTGTGTCTCTTTCAGATCATTCAAGAACTTCCTCACCTCCTAGAACTCAGTGTCTCTTTTCTCCTGCATCTTCTGGAATTTGTTACCTCTCTTCTCTTGCATCTCTGTTAGCTTTGTCACTATGAATATTTTAAATTCTTTATCTGACATTTTCATGAGATCCATTGTATTCTCTGTGTTCCTGGCTAGATCTGGGGAACAGGAGGGTGAAGTCTGGGCAGAGGGTCTTTGGTGGTTGAAATCCTTGAATTGTTGTATTCCAATTCTGAGGACATATTCTATTTGGTCACTTTGATTAGACTGAGAAACTGTCTAGTCTGAAAACCTAGTCTTCTAAGAAGACCCTCACAAAGCATCATAGACCCTTTATCCCCACCTATATGTCACTTCTTGATTTGAACTATTTGGCAAGTGGCTAAAAGCATTTGTTCTTTGTTGATTGTAATGGATTCCATTTCAGAGAATGACTTTTCTTTCAGACTTTGTTTTCAAATTCAAGAGGAAGATTTTTTTTTTTACTATAATCCTCCTAGACATGACCAAATTCTTCTTCTATTTTTTTTAATTACCAGAGGGTGCATGTATTCACCGAAGAGAAAGAAAATAAGAGACGTAGGGAAGAGAGAAAGCACTGTCCAAGTGGGCCCTAATCATACTGAAATCCCTCTCTTTCTCTATCCTGTGGGGATTTGGGGCATATATGCACAAGGACATGGTGTATTTTTCAAGCCGACAGGGCTAGGACCTGAACTACAGTTGGCCATGTGGGATTTGGCTACCTCAACTACTAGGCTACAGGACTGGCCTGACCAAATTATTAACAATTTTTAAATGATTAATGAATTATTCCAAACTATATATACACACACACATATATATATACACAAAGGGTCTTCACAAAGTTTATGGAAAATGTGTTTTATGAAGAACTATTTGTGGGTTTGAATTTTTAGCACCAAAATAAAATCATACTTAAACTCTATTTTTCCACAAATTTTCTGAAGTTCCCCAATATACACACACACACATGCACACACACACACACACACACACACATATATGTCCCCATGAGAAGCAGCATGAAAACTTCAGGATAATAAAAGTATAAAATTTTCAAAAGGGAGGGCACAGAACTCCAGGGATTCAAGAGACATACGGGCAGGAATAAAAAAACACCTCCCTGCATGGAGCCTGTGAGACTTCTCTTGCCTCCCTCTCCCTTTGCCATTGCTTCATCAGAGGCCACTTTCTTCCTGCTGTCCCTCTCATCCCCTCTGTCCATTGCTCCCACTGAGCTGTCCTGGCTCCTCACCGCCAGCCCCTTCATTGCCCAGCAGCTTGTCTCTTGGACTTCCCTGTAGCACTCACTTGAGCTTTTGCTTGACCTCATCTCTC